ACCCGAGTGGGTTGCGATACCAAGACGCACGGATCATGATGCATCAGGTAAATCAGTGTAATAAACGGTTATTCGTTACACCTGTCAAGTAAAAGAGTTATGTCATTAATCAAAATCAATATACTTTTCATTAGCATCACGATCAAGGCAACCATCGAGGCCCTCCGTTCGACAGACATCAAGCGATGCAAGCAGCCAGTACGTATAAGTCTAATAAATATATTATTGACAAAATGCGATGCTAACATAAATTTATTGAAGGGCATCTACTTCACGTCCTACGACTACGGCAAAACCTCCTCCAACGAAGAAGAAACAGTCACTGTACGATATGTTGCGCGCCGAAAACTTTACAGATCCCTTATTAGGGTATCGGCATGCGCAACGTAAAAATTAATATATATTAATATTTGCTATTGCACATTATTATTATGTATATATATATTTATTTGTATTAAAGGATTGCTACTTATAAATTGTGTCAGATTTGTAGTACTAGCGTACAACGCATAACGAATCAAATTATTCCTTATCGCATTTATCGTCATGTTGAATCGCAGTACAATTAGAGAACCAAGATTGATTTTATACATTGTAATAATGCCTACAGCCTTGCAAATGACAGATGTGATAATTTGATGCATCTACTGAGATTGGAAAGGGTACCATAGAAAGTGATGATCGTGCAACGATATCAGTTTTTTTATTGAATATTAATATGAGGGTTTAATTTAACTAGCCTCTTATCGAGGTCATTATGGGCATCACCGATAAAATAAGATTTGCATTCTTTAAACATTTAAAGAAAGAATGGTGGTGAAAAACCCCACCAATTTTTATTACAAGTTGACTTTATAACGTACACTATTGAAAGGTAAAAAAAAAGAAATACTTATTTGTTCTGCCGTTGTATATTAGTTACTATCAGATATACATCTCCACGTAATGTAAAAATAGGCATATTTACATCGTAATAGTAATGGTAAAAATTATGTTGTCTAACCGTAATGCCAAAACTTGTACCAATGATTCAATGTAAATCGCTGCAATACAATCATCAGCACAAACAATCTAACCATACTATCCAATGAGTTGAATGCACGTCATCGTATAATTATAGTTAAGGGTTACAATAGTCTAACCATAATACTAATAATTGCACCATGCAACCACAACAACGGCTGCATTTACTATCTAATCGTAAACCAGCGTTTGATAATAAGTCGTGTGAATGCGTTCAACGTCAAATACAGTAATCCAAAGTCATTCAATGATAACATCCGCCCTAACTTCTTTGTTGGGGGTATGGAGCAAAATTTTTTCTTTCGATAAATCGATTCTTTACACATATTTTGCACAACTAACGAAAAAGATAACATTTGGGTACCATAGATCGTATGGTGATAAACTGTGTGTCCGAAAACCAATAACTCGACGTATATGTTCGCCTTGGTTTGACCTCGTTCGTTAGATTTTCATGTCGACACATTGATATTCGATTAGTTTATTGTTACATGTTAATAAATAAGACAGTCAAACCTCGTTATACCGAAGAGCATAAGGCAAAAAGTCCAAGAAATTCGGTTTAACGAGGTTCAATTAGTAAGTTTGGTTAACGGGGTAAGATTTGTTACAGATGTTTCTGCGCTTACCTTTGGTTTTGCGGGGTTTTACTTAAACCTTTGATCTAACAAAGTTCGGTATAACGACGTTTGACTGTACTTGCAACAATCATTATGTCAGTCTAACATTGAAACTTGTTTAAGATTAAAAAATACAACTTCCGTAATCATAGTAACTATTATTTTCTTTTACTTGTAAATACACTCTGAGGCAAAATTTTATTTAACAAACATATTTTAGAACATTCGAACAATTTAGACTTCAATCTTGTTGTTACATGTTATTCACGGTTTAATCTATAAAACAAAGTCTATTATATATGCATTGTTGCATCAACATGTATTTACCCAAAATGTTGCAATAAATAAAAGCGTGTTATGCGTATTATTACTTGAACTAGTCTGGGCTGAGACGGTCCATTGTCAGAGTGCTTGCTGTACAACAAATGCAGGCATTTGGTCATATGATTCTAAATGACGTATTTACACTTAATCGTATGATTATCTAGTATAATTGTAGCACATGTTTAAAGTAACAATTAAACCCTGTTATTGTGATCCACCGGTTAGAAATCTGCGAGACTGACTTATTGAGCTGTGTTCAACTAATACTAAGCCGACTTAGGTGAAAAGAACTTGGAAAAGATTTTAGCTGGCTTAAGCCAACGACTTGCTGATTGTGTGTAAGATTTTACCAATTATATAAAACGTGTATATGCTCAAAACGTTCACTTCGACCAAGTATTCATATGTACATTACAGTTTGTAAAGAAATAGTTTACAAGGGCTAATGGCATTGGAGCCCTTGTTTCTTAATAATTGTTATAATACACTGACATCTCGATTGCTATCGGGTAAATATTTATCTGTTATGGGCTATTATTAGCCATATTAATATGAAGATGCCCGATCTCAAACCCATGTATGACTCCAATTTTATGAAACTTAGGCGATCTCCCCTGCTAAGAAAAATTCACTCCATATTAATAGATTTAGTTGTATTGTTATTAAGTGCCACGTGTTAAGTGCATTGTACTGATTAGGAACAATTTTGAAAGGGTTACTTTGCAGCCTTTTACAAGTCGAACAAAAAGATAAACATTAAGAATAATGTTAATCATGGCGTTGTTTGAAGGACTCACTACAATGGTAAATAATAAAATTTCGGCCGAAACTTGCTGATGCCAGCCAGATATAAATACATTTCAACTACCGTTAACAAAAAGGCGGCTCGCGAACAACATTTGCTTGTCTTTCAATTTCGACATGGCGTTCACCACTAGAATAAACACTATCGCAGAAGGTAATTCTCTTGACAAGCTAGCGCCTGAACTTAAAATGGAAGTTATTCTCTACTTGAGTAATCCTATACCGCTTGCTCAGTGCTCACGTGCTTGGTACGCCATGATAAACTTGCCTTGTGTAAAGTCCAAGTGGCTTATCAGCAGATATGGTAAAACACACGCGCTGTTTCATGCAGTAAGAATGGGCGAGCCATTCATTAATGTTGATGTCGTCGAGTATCTATTTGCTCAAAAAGCCCATCTTAGCCGATATTTTATTCAAAGACTAATGCTCGGATTTGGCAAGTATGACGAAAGGCTTATTGGCCTCAGATTGGCACACATGGGAACACTTGATCCAAATAGGCAAAGCAAAATTCAGAGCTGGGCGAGCAATATTCCGCTTGACGTTTTTTCTAGAATTCTCAAAGAGGGAAATGACCGATTTGACGGAAACGACATGCCGGTACGCGGAAATGACATGGAGTTGTTTTATTATCTTTCAGCTGGTACATCAGTTATTAGCGAAGCAAAAGCAAAATTGAGGAAAAACATAAATGAAATTGAACAGTTAATCACAAAATCCAAATTTGCGCCGTTCCCTCCGAGGCCGAAAACTCGAAACCGTAATACAAGGAACACAAAATCCCGTACTGCTGATTACGATGACTACTCGCCTACTGATGGATACGAAAATGTTTGCCAGCTAAATTACATTGCACAGGCCATACTTTTGTGTCCTAAATTGGTGGATTTCTGGAAGCAAAGCGGATGCTATGACATAGTCGAAGAGATGAACGATTTGGTGATGGGAAGCGTCTTATCGAATTTTAATTCAAGTTTAAGTCATTTCATTAGAAAACTAAAAACTCTGCAGTCGGTTGGGTTTAGACCAACAGATGTTATGATGGGAGACACCTTGATGTTATTCGGAAAACGTTTACAAGATATACAAATACTGGTGGATACGTTTACCATTGGTCGCGGTCTAAACAGGAACGCTATACTTTCTATATGCTTAAGAGAACTGTTGAAACCAGCCAGAAATCTTGAACGGTACAAGTTACTTGATTATATACTCGAGCAAGTTGATAACCCAGAAGAGACCACGTGCAGGGCCCTCCGTAGTCACCACATTGTAAACGCCGTGAAAATTTATCTCGGATCTATTCCTCAATCTCTTACGTTACTCAAATACCCTCCTATAATCTATGAATTCATGCTAGCAAAGTTTGGTGCAGACTCGCATGTTTGCATATATTTGATGGGCGAAATTATAACTGCGCGCATAGGGAAAGCCAAATTACATAAATCTAACCAGACTCTTGCTTCGTCCGATGTTTCAATTGACCACGGATGGCAAGAACTAAATAATATCTTCAACGTGTATTGCATGCAGAATGTTCCTATAGAACCACGATTGTTACCGTTGTTCAAAATGTGTCCAGAGAAAATTGTCATCAGATGCCTGTTTAAGAGATATCTGCCGAGACTATTTGGACTCGGAGGTCAATTCCAACCATCACGAGTAGACAGGATGCCAGTACTGGAAGTCACCCCATTCGAATATAGGGAAGACAGGGGAAACCATGAAGAAGCAAGGACAGAATGGTTGCGTGAAATTCGTGCTTGTAATCGGAATGACGAAATGACGTCAACGTTTAGACGTCAACTTGAAGAATTTCTCCGGAGACTGTAATTATGAACCGCCTTGCGGTAAAATTTTAAGCAAATTTTTGTATGATAAGAACAATTAAATCCCCAATCAAAAAAATTGTAATGTACATTATATGGTTTCTTGAAATAAATTATCAAATTCTTAACTGTTGGTGTCTTAACTGTTAGCATCTTTACTCTTATGCATCTTACTCGAGAAACCTAATTATTAAGTTCATGATTATTAGGTACACTCTCACCAGCAAGAGAAACGTAATAGTAAGCGAAGCTAGTACTTCTGTCTAACAGACGAGCATGCTACATACCCACGGTGTTTGTTCATTTCAAGAAAGTACTCCACTGTGTGTTGTTTTCTTAAATCATTCCCCTCACAGAAAATAACTCCGAACGTTATCCTTCTTACGTACTCGTTATAGATTAGCTCTTTAACCATTCATTATTTTTCAAACATCATCACTTCTTGTCATTCTCATATACTTTCATTACAGAAAATATAGTCTAAACGTTATTATTACGCATCAGTGTTTCAGCTGCGGCTAACATACTTGGGGTCGTCAGTCAATATTAAGTGTTACAGAATGTCAGCCCGCTATTACATATTCTCGTCCGTGCAGGATGACTCAATAGCTTAACACAAGCCTCAATATCTTCACACAAGCCTCCTCGGTAAATTCGGAGACTACCTTGCCGACAAACAATAGATACGTCATGTGCAACGAGTGTCTTCTGCGCCGCTGCCACCCATCCGCAACATCTGCAAAGATAGGACGCTCCTATCTGCAATGCAGGTTGTTAGTAGGGCCCATCATCACGCCGAATTCCTTCTGTATTCAAGTTATGATTGGACGTCTTTCGACTACGACCGTACATTATATTGCTTTTGTGAGTCTTTTTAGAACTTTTGGCTGTGCCCTGACTCAATGTATGCCGGCCCCATTAAAATTTATAGGAGATAGTTGAAAGAACTTCTGTGTTCGAATGTCGATCAACATATCCATAACCGTAAATGGATTTTTTGTGCGTCCGAAAGAATATCCTTTTGGGGGGATTAAATGATTCATTGAACACACGTGCTTTATTTACTGATCAATTCCACGATATTATGTATTACTGCCGAGTTTGAGTATTAATTTGTCGCGCTTTACGCCAAAGCTTTATTTAATTGGTTATGTTATTACAAGTTTTCTCGTCATGATTTAATAAGAAACCATGTGATTAAACGTATCGAGAACAAGAAAGGGGGCTCGCTTTCTACAGCAGTATTCTCGCTAATCACTTTTTACTTTTGTGTCTATGATGTACCAGGAATGATAAGGGATTACATGTCAATAGCAAAAGCCAATTTATGGATATGATTATTTAGTTACGATGAGTAACAAGATCATATCCCATGTTTTATATTTAATAACCGGTTTCTGTATATCAAATTGGCAATTACCCAGGCCAAGTAAAGGATCCATACGATAAGTTGTCATGATGATGTTGTTTGTTGCTTGTACGTTTCAGTCACTTCATCTTTTTCTACGTGACACCTCGCAAATGAAATATGTCTTTACCGAAATAGTTGTTATTATTATTCTACGATTGGTGTTTGCGTAACACACCTACCACGTTTAGCAATTCCTTTTCGTTCAGTCCAGTCCATATTCCATCAAAAGACTTCATTACGTAATTCAGCTTGTAACGCAAGATTACTTCAAATTTAAAGCTATAAAAGAACGGCGACGTAAAGGAGAAGAAATAGTTTCAGCCTGTCCTACTGTTCTTACCATCCTACGTTAATACCAGCGATACTATTATTCATAATAAGATCAGTTCATTTATTTCGTTATCCCCATATTGTTATTTAGAATCTGTATCATAAGCTGGTAGACATGCTTTCCTCTAATTAGCGTAAATCGTGTCATATTTAATTCCGAAGAAGGAGAACTCGGATCGAGCACTTGAAAGTTAATGTTTTCCCCCTGGAAACCGGTCATATTTGGTTTAGAAAACGTGCAAGATCTGGAAGACAAATGAGAAATTTGAATAAGATGATTGAATTCATAGAGCAGTAAGATAAACAAGGTATTCAAATATGTAAGAGAGGCTCTTTCAAAAAAAATGAAAGAAAACTACGAATATTCAGGTATGAAAGTAATCCTGGGAAAGTACCAATCAAATGTATTCAAGCCACACGACTGAATGTTAGCTATTGTCCTCATTAATGAGTGTTTGTCGCAGTTAATGGTGTTACGCCAACATTAATGATAACGTTTGTGTTTAGATGATCAGAGCGCTTTGACAAATTTCCATATACGGAATGTGGAATATATCTGTATGTTGTGAAAGAATCAATACATGTTGTGACTCATTGTAAAAGGTAATTTATTTTTAGGATGTCGTAATTATTCTTATTATATAACAAACCCCTAAGAGCCGGTGCATGTCGTATCACTCAGTTCCTTTGTTAAACATAAACATTCCCACGCAGAATGAGCCGTTTCATTTCCGCTGTATTTTTATATCGTATAGAAAATATACAGTACTTTACGAAATTTCTTCATACATCTTCGCTATTGGATATGCTCAATCGTTACTCGCTTGAAGTTTTAAAACACGACTCTTTATACTGTGAACTCTAAACATTTCGTGTACCCGCACGGAAACCTTATGACCAAGAACGCTTTATTATTTCCTTATAGTCCGTGTACACAGCTTACAATCATTGTCTATTTAAAGCAGAAACGATTCTGCAATTAAATTTAGATGCTTATCAATGAAACAAAATTAGAGTTCTATTGTAAGATTAGATATCAGCTGATAGATTATATCCATCAACCATCATTGCGTGGAAGCTTGCTCTCGCTAATATAATGTTATAATATGTTCTATATCGTACTTGTCAAGAGGCATTCGCATGCGGAGGAGCAGAGAGTTTACTCCTCCCTTACATTCCTGTAACAAAATTTACATAGTAATACTGACTTTCAACATTTTTCAAACCATCATTTTTTATACGTAGTATTTATCGATTATTTTCCGGAGAAGAATTTCCTTTGATTATTACCCAATTTGGACAGACATCATGGTTTTTTCGGCAGTCGATTAATTGAATTGTACTCTAAACAAATGTTATATAAGCTTTGTCAAGACTAGTTATTTTGCTTCGGAAGTACTCGGTGAGTCTATGTTTCTTCCTGCCTACCTTTCTTTTAAAAAAAAAACACCGAACGTGAAAATGGATGATTAATACATTGTCAACATTGCGAAAATCCTAATTTTTTCTTTTTTTTCTTAGTGAATTCAACAATTTTATCACTTCAGTCATGTTGGCGAGTTTCGATAATCTTGCGCCAGAAATCAAGTTATATATAATTCTCAATTTGAAGAATCCTTTGCCGCTAGCGAAATGTTCGCGAGCTTGGTATACCCTTGTAAATTCTCCGACTACTAAATCTCAATGGTTGATCAGCATGCATGGCAGAGTACATGCATTGTTTCACGCTGTAAGAATTGGAAAACCCTTCATTTCCGTCGACGTTGTCGAGTGTCTGTTTGCTCACAATGCCCATCTCAGTCGATACTTTACGCAGAAATTAGTACTCGGCTTTGGTAAGTATGATAGCAGGCTTGCCGATGCCAAAAAAGCGCTAGATTTGGGAGATGACGTGGTCCAAGGCAAAGGCCGCTGTCCGTGGGCAAGCAACCTTTCTTTAGACGTATTTACTCGCATTCTCGACGAGGCACATCGCAGATATGATGGTAATGACATTCCCATTCGTGGCGATGATATGGAATCATTTTACTATTTGTCAGCCGGGTCGCTTAAAATGAGCCAAGCGCGAGCGACGTTGGATACAAACATGTGTGAAATCAAAACGTTGATCAAGCGCTACAAATTTGTTCCGCTTCCTCCTAGACCAAAAACTCGAAACCACGTTTCAAAAAATCTGATATTCGAGTCTTGTGACAATTCATCCGCAGATGGTTATGAGAGTAGTCGCAATTTGACCGTCATTGCGCGAGCCATACTCGTTTGTCCGGAATTGATTAATGTCTGGAAGGAAATTGGTTATCATGAAGTAGTCAAAGATACGAATGACATTGCTGTAAGGGGTTCGTTGTCAGCACTTTATCCGAATAATCCGGCAGCTGATTGGGTCATACCAGATTTAGATCAAGTTGTCACGAAATTGACCGATTTACAATCGTATGGATACGAAGTGACGGATGATTTGCTTGGAGATGCCATGATATTGCTTGAGCAAAAGTTAGACGACATAGGAGACGTACTCGTTAACGCGCTCGCCGTTGTTTGTCACATGACTAGGCAAGAAGTGCTCTCTGTGTGTTTAAGAGAACTATTGAATCCAGCAAGAGAGCTGAAATTATATCATTCACTTGAATTTGTAATTACCGCGATCGATGATCCCGAAAAGAAAATTCTTGCCGCGTTCGAGGAATACGTAATTGAAAATTCCATCGATGTAAATCTAGACGGTAATGATTCTTTTTCTACAGCTTATACTATCCACAAATACTCACCTATCGTATACGAATACATGCTGGCAAAGTTTGGTGCCTACTCTTGTATTACTGGATATTTGATGAACGAGATTACAGCCGCTCGCATAAGAAAAGCAAAACTTTGTGCATTCAATAGTTCCCTAGCGTTGTCTTCCAGTCGAATAGATTGTCTCTGGGCAGAATTAGATCACATCTTCAATGTATATTGTAGGGCGGGCGTTCCTTGGGATATACGACTTTTGCCCTTGCTCAAAACATGTCCTAGCGAAAGGGTAATCGAGTGTCTATTTTCTGAAGGATATCTACCGGAACTGTATGGTTTTCCACCAGAAAATCGATTACCGAAAGTAATTTCAAGCCAAAAGTTTCGTATTACGCCATTCACATCACAAACAATATGCAAGACGAGCGATGAAGTGCATGAGGAGAAAATGGTATGGATGAATGCTATTCGTTCTTACAACCAAAACAAAAACGTTACGATTGTGTTTAGCAATCAAGTTGATCAATTTTTAAGGCGCTTGCATTCCTTTACAGAAGCAGTTTTATAGTAGATAGTATGTATAATAAATGTTTTTAAAAATACTGGGCTGTTGTCTTTATTACACATTAGCCTCCCTGGACCAGATTTCGCGAGACGTACACATGGTCATTCACTTCGTGGTTTATGGGGAATTTATTTGATATTCTCTGGGCTTAATTCGCGAAAAAATAAAACGAGTTGCTGAACTCATTCCCCCATCCCCACCCCCACTCTTTCCTATAAAAAGTTTACGAAATGGCAACTATTTTACAATTGTAAGGGCAAGTTGTATAAAATATAAATCAAATATGAGCAATAAATCAATTAACGATCTTAATTCAATACATTTAATTAAAGTGTGTCTTTTTGGTTTCGCCCATATTTAATTTCGAAAATAATAATGATAATGATAATGCCATGATCGAAAACAATACTGAACAAAGTTACGTGATTATATATCACTTCCTTTATATGGTCTAAGTCAATTTTTCTATTAACTTTAAATGTACAGTATAAGCATATTATGCTCTCTGTAAACAAGCAATGCCTGATTTAGGATATAATATGCGTTTTTTACGTAATTTTTATTAAAACGAACATGACTTCAAGTAGCGAGAAATAACACATCTGTCAAACGCGATTAAGAAAAATAATGCTTTAAATATTATTTTTTTTTTAAAATGTAAATTGAGTCAATTGCTACTTGTGAGCGAACATATTAAATAGTAAATAATATATTAATATTAATGCGTATTTTATAACAAATAAAAAATTATATATACAGAGTTTATTGCATATACCAAACGTGTCCCGTCACCCCCTGATCAGAGCCACTAGTCAACTTTTTAAAACGCGCACAGAAAGCTTCTTAAACAAATTATATGTGTCACCGAATGTTTAGCTTGCTTTTCGCACTGAGTAATAATAATACGTGTCATTTTATAAATTACAATTTTATTGGTAATCGTATTTCTGTCATGTTATGTGGATGATTTATAGCTATTTACAATCTTGGCAGTTAATTGTGACAACAATGCCCCCTAATACTAATTAAAGCAACCTTGAATGCCATCTCTATTGTTGTAACATCCTTTTTGGCAACGCTTCCATCGCTATACGCTAGTCCAAATTAGTCGACGGAAAAAGTGACCAACATATTAAGTATGATTTGAGGGCATGTGACCGATTATATTATGTGTTGTTATTGGACAATCACATCTATTTTTTTTTTACGCTCCTAGCAGGAGGCGAGGCATATCTATAAAGTGGCGAAAAAATTACCATCGTTTAGCATAATTGGTTATCATCATCACCATCATCATCATTCAGTTGGCTAGGTGCGCTAGTTGATAAGTTGATTTTAAAATTGCAACACCTGGGTCCCAGCATACCTTGACGGAAATTCTCATGCTCACAGGTGTGGGTAACCACATTTATTTAAATAGTAAATAATTGAAAGTCCCAAGCCTGAGGCACATTATCATTATCCCCATGGATTCTTCCACTTCACCTTCACCTTCTTCACCTTCTTCACCTTCTTCACCTTTACTTTGCGAACTACCCGACGAGCTTAAAGTGGAGATTATCCTCTACTTGAAGAATCCTACACCGCTTGCTAGAAGCTCGCGCGAATGGTACTACCTAATAACCTTACCCTTTGTTAAGAGCAAGTGGCTAATCAGAACACATGGAATAATTCATGCGTTCGGCCATGCAATAAGACTGGGCGAGCCGTTCATTAATCCGTATGTAGTCAAATGTCTACTTGCTCAAAAAGCCCATCTCAGCCGGTATTTGGCTCAGAATCTGATGCGCAGGTTTGGTAAACATGCACGAAGCAGAAGTCGTCGCTTGCGGCAAAGCAACGTCTCCAACATTCGTAACGTGGCCGAAAGCAAGTATATTAATATCTTTGATAACGATATGAAAACGGATATGGAATTATTTTACACGTTGATGAGAGAGAAAAACATAGAGGATATCAAAACGTTTATTAAACGCTACAAATTCGCTCCTCTTCCTCCCAGGCCGATAGTTCGAAATCACATTTCAAAGAATCTGAATCTTTTTAATCATGACGATGATTCATGTTACGAGTGCGATTGCAATTTGACCGGCATTGCACAAGCAGGTTACGAGTGCGATTGCAAATTGACCGGCATTGCACAAGCCATACTCATTTGTCCGGAATTACTTGACGCCTGGAACGCAATCGGGTACCACGAAGTAGTTGAAGATACAAATCCTTACGCTATGCTGGGTTTGTTGCAAATGTTGTATCCAACCGATCCGCCAGCTAATTGGGTCAAACCAGATTTAGATCAAATTGTTGCGAGATTGAATGATTTACAGTCGCGTGGATACAAAGTGACTGACGACTTGCTTGGAGATATCATATTACTTGAGCGGCATTTGCACGATGTAGGAGATGTATTTATTGACGCGCTCACCATCGTTCATCATACGAGTAGACGAGATGTACTCTCTGCTTGTTTAAGAAAACTGTTAAATCCAGCAAGACAGCTAGAAGAAGATCATTCGCTTAATATTAAGTTTGTAATTGATGCGATTGACGACCCCGAAGAGAAAATCCTTGCCTTATTCGAAGAGTACCGTATTAAAAATCCCATCGAGGTTGACCCAGACAATAGCGGTTCTATTCCTCTAGACCGCACGATCCACAAGTACTCACCTGTCGTATACCAATTCTTTATAGCAGAGTTTGGCGTTCACTCGCGTGTTGTTCAATATTTGATGGATGAGATGACAGCAGCACGTATACAGAACGCCAAACTTCATGCATCTAACAACTCTCTGGCGTTGTCTCATGCTCGAATCGAGACTTCATGGAGAGAGTTGGACGATATTTTTAATGCATATTGTAAGGCAAAGGTTCCTTGGAATCGACAACTTTTGTCCTTGCTCAAAACATGTTCTTGCGAAAGAGTAATCGGATGTCTATTTTTTGAAGGATATCTGCCGGAACTGTTTAGTTTTCCACCAAGAAATCAATTGCCGAGGACAACCGCAACGTGGTCCACCCCATCAACCAGGACAAACAACAACGAAGTAGAGGAGAGAACGAAATGGAGGATGGCTATCTCTGGTTTTAATAATAACGAGCCCATGACAGTCGTCTTTAGAAATCAACTTGCAAGGCTTCGCGGGTATCTCTCTGGTTGAACTCTGGTCAACGTTACCAAGATCAAGCGATAGAGCTTATGTAATTAATTTAATTGCGCTTTCTTCCTGTACGATATTTATGTATAGTACTGAATAATTTAATGGGTTCCTAAATGTATAAATTTGTACATAGTAATTATGTTCTGTGGGGGACAAGATATGATCATAATATCGTCTGTGTTTCTACAGCTCAGGCTTCCATTTCTCTCACTTTGTGATACACCCTGTACTCGTGTATCCTTTTTTCTTTTTTCTTTTTTCTTTTTTTTTTTTTTTGTGTGTGTGTGGAAATAAACGTCTTGGTTCTTTAAGACTGTATAGTAATAGGCGTTCCCATTCTAAGCATAGGCCTGTAATTTTAGCTCATGAATTTGCAGAAGCCGACAGCCTGTCAGTGGTAATGTCTTTATTATATTTCAACAATAACCAGTCGGCCGAAACGTACAAAAGAAAACAACGTTAAACTAAAACTATGCCTCCCAAAGGATTAGATGCAACTCATTATATTCATCACCCTCCCATCCCAAGCATGGAAACACTAATATAAATATTATGCAATGTTGAAACGTAAATTTTTACCAGACATCAACAGTAGATACATACCCGATCGACGTATCGCTTACTTCAATACGATGAATCCGATAGAGCTTGCATCTACCCTACTTGCTCATGCTTTTTCTTCATTCTTCCTCGGCCTTCCTCGTACTTGTTTGCACGACTGCTAATATTCTCTACGACCTTATCCGCCTGCTCCCGCCCACGGATTACCTTGTCAATCTTTTCTATTATTCCCAATTGCGCCAAAACACTCGCCTGATCCCAATATATACGTTCGCACGCGATTTTATCTCCATGAAATTCAACTATCGCCACCATTGGAATTTCTACATGTTTGTTGGTAGGAGCAATGCCTGGAAGCATCCAGTCCATTTCGCAAGTGTGAGTAAAGGAAAAGATAAACTCGTCCACCACGCGAGTGGGCGTTACCGAGCGAGTGATGGGTGTTATTTTGGTCGACGGCGGGTTACAGGGAATAAAGTGATGGGTGTCTATACATATATACAGAACAGACGTTGCGTTAGTTTATTTATTCGTTACGCATTTTCATAAAGTTGAACGTCCTCGTCATTGTGCCATTCGCACGGCTGAGGTTTTATGGGCTTACAAAATTCAGTCAAGGCCTTCTTGCCACTGCCACCGGTCATCGTTGGAATATGATTTACATATGGTTCATCAACCTATAAGATGAAAATAATAAAAAATCAGTACATGCTTTTAAACTTTCTCGCAATAACATGGTATATTCACTTTCCATTTCTCACGCGTTTTTAATTGCAAGTTACCAGCGCGATCAAGGAAAGTTTTACCGGGTGGGTTTTATATATCCAATTACTAGAAAAACGATAAGATAATTCAAGCATTCAAAACATTTTCAACTAACCATAGTCTCCAAGGTCTTTTTGACATCCTTCTCCTCAAATTCAAAATGACAATGTTGATCCCACAGCAGCGACAGGTCGTATTTCTTTCTCGTGGCCGTCTTTAACAAACTCAGCGATCGATTATATGCGAGATCTTTATGAGCTTGATCTAGCAAGAGCGTTTCCGTGTCAGGATCCTCTGATTTTGCCAATGGATATGTATAAACCTTGACGTGACTCAAAGATTTGCAATGATCAAGTAACCGTTGCGGAGCTGATTGCGAAAGATGAAGTGCGAATGGTATGGAAACGTCTTCTATCCGTTTTTCAACAATCGAATCGTTGGTAGGTAGATATCCAACACCACACAACAGTCTCTTGCAAGAAGCAAACTCGAGAGCGTAGTCTGCACCGATTCCTTTCCCAATAATCCCAACGCCGCATTTGCCGACAACGTCTTCCAAGACTTCAAATGCGCAAGATAAATATAGCATGATTTTGTCTTGTCCACTGATTTCTGAAAGATCGGGAACCAATACCGTGAATCCATCCTGACATAATTCATCCGCTTCTGCTTCAATTGAGGGCGAAATGTTTAGTTGTTCGCTCAGCAGAATCAAACCGGGTGCCGGTTCTGCAGGTGAATGTAGGCATGCAGGCACAACAGGAAGATTTGCAAAAGGTGTTGCTATGTCAAGTACTTTTGTCATGTTGGGTTTTTTTCGTGGTCGTAATGTTGCAACGAGTCGGGTCTGCAAACACTTTTAAATATTTACAAGCTGGGCGATTGCAAAATGTTGTCGCAATGATGATGAAATTTAGGTTTTAATGGAAATCTTGCTATCCCGAATTTGGCTACAAATTTGATCGAAATAAAGCCTACATTTTATCATATTAATACGGTTAAGTATAACCCATATCAGGCTTTTGTTTAACGATACTATAATCCGGGCAAATACATTGTGTACTGCTTGCTACTCTCACCTTGACATTTTAACGATTATCCGACAAAAATCATACACTCACTGTGCTATTGCAACGGCAAAAGGTACGGGATGAGGCATTTCTCTCTTGATAATTCGGCCGTCAGGCCAGCCCGTCAAAGCCTCGTTAATCTTGTATTTGATGTTACAGATTTACTGTAAAAAGACTGCCAATAAGCAAGTTGACGCATTTTACTCAAAGTAGGAATTCTCTGATGCATATCGTTAACCAATGGGATGTTAGAGAACAGATCCGAAAAGATCTCAGCTCTCAAATTTAATTATAAAAACCCCGAGGTTATTGTGCATTATTTGGTTATGATAGTCTTTCTTTTAACATGTTTAGCATTAGTACCTGTAGATTAGACATTAATGCGGTCAAGCCGAAACATTGCAAGAATTACCAAATACAGGGAAAGGCTAAAGCGGAGCAGAACGTGATCCCGCATTTGCAGCTCATACAAATTTGGCCAATGGAATTGCGAGAGATCTGCTCCGCTTTATTAGACACAGCCACCATGGTGGGTTATGGCAAACAAGAAAGGAACGCGAAAATCAAGATGGGTTATGACTTGCCAATCAATACTAGAAAAATTATCACTTCGCATACTTGAAACCAATATGAATGTAATCATGCTGGGTATCAATGCCTGGTGGCGTCCGATTCCGCAGGTAAAACATAATAATAGACTACGCTGTTAAATGTCCATATGGACGAAAAACTGTAAGACATTTAGACCGACCACAAATATACCAATAAAGAACGCAAATCTCCAAATCCTCCGTCTTTTACTCTTTTTTTACCTAAACACCTTAAATTTATGATTTTATGGCTAACTGTTTTTAACAGCCCATTTTTCTTAACCGGATTTAGCAGTTTACACTATTTTAACATCAAACATTTACTTAATCCACGGTAACGTAAACCCCCAATAAGCTGTTATCAGTTGTGTTTCGATGCTACAATACGTTCGTCACAATTAATTTTTGGCATCTGCGTATTACTAAGCATGTATGAAGTTTAACGACATTATTCTCACGTAAGCAAACATGTCTGGTACCAGCAAACAGTGTGTTCGATTGGATAGTACCAAGTTTTTTCGCATAATGTATTAAAATGGAAGGTTTTCTATTAGGGAAGGTGCATTATGCCTAGTGCATTATATTATATGTCTTTATATTCTTTACGGATTTCAAAACTATTCGTGATGCCTGTCTTTTTCTCGTTTGAAACAGTAAGGCCAATAGAATATAGAAATGATTCCCAGCAGTAAACAGAATTTCTATAAATAAAAATATTAAAGTTATTTGACATATTTGGAGATTCACCGGTAGCATTCTCTAAATGGAATCATCATGAATACAAACGATCAGAAACCAGGTCTTGACTATTAAGGGGATCTGGATGATTGTCATTGTCGGCCTTGTGCAAACTTATAATCTTTATTAAATTTCCACTCTCACCCCTCTTTTTCGAACCAATTGACAAACGTGCTTTCAACACGTTTCACAAGATTAACATATGCCAGTGCATATTATATCAATGTTTGCTGTATGTCAGCTAACGGCATGTACATTTCGTACGGGCATTTTCAATCTTGGTCATTTGTTTAATAACAGTAACAAGTATTCTATTTGTCGCAGGTTGCAGGAAACAAGCAAACTCAACCAGAGCTTTGTACCTGGTGCCTGCATTTATTATCAATTCTATTTTTGCCACTGGTTATTTTGGGGTTGTGGCAATCCTTCTCATTAGTCATTCTTACATAATATTGATACTAATTTTTCATCCGGAGAGTTTTCAAGTCCGAAAAAGTTGCAAACCTTCGAGACTTGTTCTTAAGATTACACAAAGATTGAAAACAAAATTCTTGTGCAAGACGTTGGTCGATCTATTCATGTCAGGGGCTGTATTAATGTTTCTTTATCAAGGATTGTCAATTTGCTATCGTGCCCTCGGTGATTGCTGCTGTCATGAGCTGTTATCACTTGACATTCATTTATCCTTTTTCATCGGTTATTCCTTTTCGTCCCCCTTACCGATAAAATACGCAATTGGCATTCCAGACTTCTTACTTATTTTCATTTTATCCATGTGTAACACTTAACAATTTGGACATTCTAATTGTTAATTGGATCTTCGTAAGATACGATAGAAACAGGCAGATGACAATTTAAGGATGGCGGAGGCAAAGCAAGTGTTGCGAATCCAGAGGAAAAAGACTGCGGAATGGAGGGTGAATGCACAATGAGACATTCTTGCATAAGAATGTTTCGGCCAACAGTGTCATGACGTTTGTTCACAATTTGGTCTATTGGACCTGGGCTGCTGCGCCTGGCATTTATGAATCCTTATTCGGTATGTATATATACGTCATATTATACCATATACTCGAAACAGTGTTTCCCGCCAACTTGTAACGTGACTGGCGGGACCTGTCGTTTGTATGGTAATACGTCATACAGCATGTATGCATATATTAGCTTTGCTGATTGCATACGGACCGTAACGAATACTTTGCTCCCATTATCGCAAAGATTTCAATTAAATAATGAACATGATTACTATTTAAATACACAATTGAGAACCTTATTTAAATCTACAATGTTCTATAACATCTTGTACAACAAATGGGAACAATAACACCTATTCACACATTCATAATCATTTATTAATCGGGAATATATCTGCGAACCTCCCCCCCCCTCAAATATCGCACGCCTTTTATTCATTAAATAATGTGTTCTCAGATCCATGCATCCGGATGTCAAATTGTATAAAAGCACCAACATTTCAACCAAAGTGTAACTCAAAAAAATACATCCACATACTCTCTATAAACCCACACAGTGCATAGTGCACAGACAACAGCACAGTTCACTTATTAGTATACACTTTGATATCCCTGGACGCAGACCATGCCTCGTTTTTGTGAACCGTTGTCAATACAAGATGGCTCTACGACAGTGGAAGGCGACCTCAAGTAAGACATCCATACTATCAGCGTCTTTTTTTTTTCCTGGTCACTGTATTTTCACGTGATTACTACAATGATATATATCAATTCTAACGTTTAACAACGTTCATTTAAAAAAAAAAGACCAGCATCACGCCTGCCATCATATCAGACAAAAAAATCACAATCATCGTTCGACCGCGTTTTCCTTCGCCGTCTACTACGCATATTTCGTATTATACTATCCCCCAGAAAGCCAGAGGGAAATGTGATATGGCTATGGCTCACATTCATGGTAGTCAGCTTTATAAAAGAGATTGCAGTATATTATGTGGGAACAATACCAAGCAGATTTTACGGCGTATTTGTCGGCAGAGACTGGGATGGTTTTAAAATCGTGCTCGTGTTGGCTTTGCTATTCGTGATTGCTGCTGGCGTGGTAAGTGTTTTAATTGGAACTGATGACATTCGATTGCACATGTATCGGATGCCACATGTGACTTACCCTTTTGCGTTTTGCTCTTTTACAGGGGAGGAGTCTCGTACAATTTATAAACGGACTGTTTGCTTTAAAGACAAGACGAATTCTTACTAGATATATACAAACGAGATACGTTAACGGCAAAACTTTATACCGCTTACTCGTCTGGCAACCGGAAATTGACAATCCGTACGTATCCACTACAAATGAATGTTGCTAGTCGGAATCAGATCATATATATTGGCTTTCATCTAACAGCCTCACATCGTATATGACAATTTTACAGTGATCAGAGAATAACTCAAGATACATCCAACTTTTCAACTAAACTCGCCCTAATCCTTTCCGAAGTAATCATTACTCCCATCCTCATCATTTACTATACCTACAAATGCTTTGTTATCTCTGGATATCTTGGCCCTATGCTGATCTATATCTACTTCGTAGTCGGCACTGTTTGCTCCCGTTTCTTAATCTCACCCATTGTTGAATTGGTATTCTTGAAAGAGCAACAAGAAGGCTATTTCAGATTTTTACACGCGAGAATCAGGAATTATGTAGAATCAATTGCTTTCTCGTGGGGAGAGAAAGGAGAGAGGACAAGATTGGATGAATTGTTGATGAGAGTCTTAGGATACCAGAAGAAAATTGTTTACAAGGAATTGCCCTTACAAAGTATGTTATAAAACAATTGGCAATGATTTGAGATTTTATTTGATATCATGCCTAACATTCTATCTTATTTTTTATCGTAGCTGTAACTGAGGCTTTTGGTTATTTTGGTTCCGTTCTCAGTTACGTGGTTATCGCCATTCCCTTATTTTCTGGCAAATATGATGACCTTCCAACTGATGAACTGAGTGCAATCATTGCGTTGGTATGTATAATGTAGCATGATTAGATATTATTATACAAATTAATCGGCCACTAACAAATTACTATCAACATTGCCTTGACACCTTTTTAATAGAACGCTTTCTTATCAATCTATCTTGTCTATCTGTTTACGGTCATAGTTCAGCGGGCGTCTGATATATCCGATTTGGCGGGTTACACTGCACGTATAGGACAACTGCTAGAAGCGATTGACGATATTGAGAATCGCCTAGAGCATGTGGAGACGGTCCATGACATTGACGGCAGTCTAGAGAACATCGATTCAGACTTTTTACTTGACCAACAACCAAAGTTGGTATACGCTTTTAGTAATGATCAGAATTTTTAACTGATGCTTACATATACTGACGTTTCCTTCCATCCAAATTTCATCTATTCATTAGTGCTTACACCGAATTATCAATATCGTTCGATCGAGTAACAATCAAATCGCCTGCGGGAAAAACATTACTGACTGACTTGCGCTTTACCATCGAACAAAACAAGAATGTCATAATTCTTGGGCCGAACGGAAGCGGGAAAACATCCATATTACGAACAATGAGTGGTCTATGGCCTGCTTGCGAGGGAGCAGTCAATTTACCGCACGCAACAGTGAAGCAGAAAGTACTTGTATACTTGCCTCAGACGCCCTATTTAACGTATGGATCTTTGAGAGACCAAATAACGTACCCAGTCGTTAATTCGTTAAGATCATCATTCAGTAAGTATGGTAATTTATTCTCAAACATAAGACGGAGTAAATTCTCAAACTTATCGACCGTTTATTTCAATTTGCAGTAACTGATGAAGCAATTAGAACAATATTGTCCAAAGTCGGACTTGTACATATTGAGAAGATCTGTGGGGATTTTGACACCGTGTATGGTCAAGAATGGAATACAATGCTAAGTCCTGGAGAACAACAAAAGTTGGCTTTTGCACGCCTCTTCTACTGGAGGCCTGTATTCGCAGGTAAATAGACTTATGCTAATTTGATCAACGAACATTTCTAGCCATCTACCTTGTTAGCTTATGGCTAATATATCAAATCAATTGTAGCATTCGACGAGGCGACTAGTTCTCTTGATTCGGCACTCGAAAGTCAATTCTTTGTAACATGTAAATCACTGGGAATCACCTGTATCACAGTATCACACAATAGGAATCTACTCAAGTATCATGATCAAGTGTTATTATTAGACGGAAGAGGACATTATGCAACGAGTGATATTGACATTGATGGCACTGAAGATATAGAGAGATGGATTGATCAAACGCTCAGACCATCATCATAAATCGACTTTATCTTATGCGTACTGTGCCAGACAATCAATTGTTGATTTGAAATCAATGCAATGGACATTAATATTTATTAGCCACTTAATCGTAATGCATTTTGTTAATTATATATAGTCGTTATTTGATAGAATGACACACAATCTTGCATGAATAACAACAACCATCAATAAAGAGTCTACTGTTTTCACAAAGCGCTGTAATAGCTGTCAATTGTCCCGGAACGGTTTTCGACATGAACATGTGAATTGAATGAATGAGGAAAAGAACAATGTGATAAATGATTGACGAACTGCTATACTCTTCAACTTTTCTATGGTGGTGATCAACATACCACTTGTCGGCTTGAATTGAGTAAAGATAGCAAATATTTAAAATACTCACAGTTTAAAGCAAAAAGACTTGTAAAACACGTTGAATGGTTGAGTTGCCTACACTGAATCACAAGACCGAGGTAAACAAATACGGAGCTCTCGACTTCTTCTCCCACCTCTTGTCCGAATATCCCGTCTTTTATTGTTTCCCTTTCGTTCCCATGCTCTCAAAATTCAATATTAATATCAGAAACCGACGAAAAATCCGTGTTATGACTGAGAACCTAACCGGGTTTGATTCCTTGTTTTGTAAGCTTGTTATATTCCAAACCCAATTGAGATTGGATGATCCAGCAGACGCGTATTCGACGACTGGTTAACGGAATTCTTCGAGGTGGATGGACTCCGGACTACGGCGTATAGCTCGATCGCGATTTTGATTCTAGTATTAATTCTATCAGAACAACCACGTATGGTTCTCAGAGCATGTGAATTTTATTTCGTCAATTAGACAACAAACGAACGTTGGTAGATAGAGATACCAGCAAAGAACACCGTCTTTGCATGGTCTCTAACAACGGTTTTTGCATTCCGTTTGAGAAATTGAGAAGATAGCAACTACCCTAGTGCGCTGGTTTCATTAGGATAACAGATGCAAATGACCGTTAATGTATGTAAACTGTTCGCAATGAGATAGTCCCAACTTCCTTCCGGATGTTGTGGCTTGTTTAATGCAATTAATCCTGATATGAACAATCCGTTGCTTGTTTAGTCAATTTAAGATTTATTTCCCATTTTTACTGTTGTCAATTATAATTATATTGTAGTGGCATATTTCTAAGCATTACCCGAAACAAAATCTTATAATCTTAACCGTATGGCATCGCCTTATACATATTGAAATAAATAATGAATAAGTAACAGTCGCTTAAATACGGTTTATCACAAATACTGTACGATAACGTTTGTGCGTTATTCAATTGTTACGTTGTCGCACATATGCATAGCGACTCGGGACTGATCACCAAATTTATCTATCACATATTTATATACACTGCGGTTGGTTGAGGTGTATTTCTCAAATGCCGAGAGAACTTTGTCTTCAGGTTTATCAATACGATCGACTATAAACTTAAGTGAAACGTGTTGCTCGATATTTCGTTCTGGCCGCAATAGCTCTGTTAGACAAATAATATAAATATCCTCCTTGGACTTTTTACGAATAATGGCGAAAACTTCGATAAGCGTTTCGCCTATATTGATTAGCTTGCGTTCCAATAGTATTAGGACATCTCCGATAACCTTGTCGGTCAATTTAAAACCAACTGCCTGTAAATCGCTCAATTTCTTGACAACTTGTTCTAATAAAGCCGAAGCTTCAAACTCATGTATCAGCGAGGCTCTCACGACAATGTCATTTACGTCGTTTACTACTTCAGGATATCCGCTTTCTTTCCAGACAACAACTAATTCAGGGTGGAGCTGAATAGGTCGTGCGATGGTGGCATTCCAGTCCCAGTCGTTCGTGTAACCATCGAAATCTCCGGGATGTAGAAAATATGAATTTCTGACCCTTGGACTAGGAGGGGAAGGAAATGGTACGAATTTATACGTTTTAATCAACGTTTTAATTTCATCCATATTTTTCTGTATTTCGACTGTCGATTGTCTAGTTCCTAATAGTCCACCCGAGAGATAATAAAATAAATCCATATCATTTCCTTTGACAGGAATGTCATTTCCGCCAAACAGATCATGTCCTTCTTTAAGAATTCGGGAAAAAACATCGAAGGAAAGATTGCTTGCCCACGGACTGCGTATTTTGTTTTGAATGAACTTTTTCCGATCTGGATCCAGATTGCCCATGTTATGCGTTAATTTGAGATCAATAAGCCTACTGTCACACTTGCCAAACCCGAGTACCAATCTTTGGATAAAGTATCGACTAATGTGCGCGTTTTGCGCAAATAGACATTCGACCACATCAAGGTTAATAAAGGGTTCGCCCATTCTGACCGCGTGAAATAATGCATGGGTTCTCCCTCGTCTGCCAATCAGCCACTTGGCTTTCGTTGAAGGTGAATTCAGAATACTGTTCCATTCACGCGAGCACCTGGCAAGAGATGCAGGGATTTTCAAATGGAGAATAATTTCCACTTTAAGCTCAGGTGCTAAATTATTCAAACATATACGTGGGGGAACCATCATAACATTTATAAACCTCGGGCGAGGAAGCTGGCCAGTTAATAAGGCGACATCCGAAGACGCTTAATAAATTCGAGAATACGAATTAAAAAATGTTCATAGACTACAGTACAGTTTGCTGCTCATACTGATACCTGTATGATCGAAGCAGTTTTCACTCGCAGAAAACATTGAATTTACTTAATGGAACACTGGTTTATTTATAGATATTCCAGTCGAGTTGGTGAAATAATTGTTGCCACAATATGTGTGTACAACCCCTAAGAAATGTGTCCAGCACAAATTACCAAAAACACAGCTCTCTGCTAACGAGTATGTATAGGGGGCGACGCCTGTCCAGCATAAGTTTACACAAATTACCAAAAACACAGCTCTCTGCTAACGAGGATGTATAGGGGGCGAGAGTTAGTTAGTAAGAAATTACTAGCGAAGCTCTGAATTGAAGTCCGAGTGAACGGCGGCCGTAACTACTGTATAATAATAACGGTGGCAAGATACCATCGGCGTATGTGTAACATGCCAATCACAAATTAGAACTGGGGACCGTAGATAAAATTTGCATAATCATGCTATTTCTTAGAATACAAGAATACATAGAAACCCAAACATTCTGTCCTATCAAATGTGGCAAGCCCGAAGAGAAAATTACTCTGAATTTTATATTATGTACGCAGTCCATTTTTGAAATGTGTTATATTTTTCGCTAACTAAATAAATAATACACCTCCCACTTGCGATGTCCGTGTTACATAGAAGAGGCTAAACTACCGAATTTTTGAACGGAAAAATAATTGGTTGCAAAGTGTGGCAAACAACGGACGGCGAGTTTGCAGAAAATTTATCAGAGCATTTAACAATTTAAATTGTATAAGCTTAGTTCCTTGCAAAAAAAATGCTGATTTAGATAAAACTTTAGAATTCAAAGTCACTTACAGAGTTTGATCAGACTTTCTACAATAGAAAGTTACCTTCATGAGAAGACATATGCGCAGCTTCATATAAAAAAGCCGCCGCTCTTATCAGGGGAACTAACTAATTGTAACGGAGAAAAACTAACCAGCTCTAAGCGTTGTAACTAGTATCAATATATTCGACTCTTCGGAATAATAAATGATTATTAAGCCATTTCCGAAACTGTTGAATATGTACTACGGGACGAATTAGATGCAGGGGGTGAATAAAACTGCTTTGTTTCACAGGACAAAAAGGAGTAGTTGCAGATGATATATGACCTTATCAATTGTATGCTTACGATCTATTCACTGCTGTCAACAAACGTTTTTGTCTGCAAGAAGACAAATTTGTACCTTTTTGGGTCTGTCTAAAGGACGAACAGTGCTTTTTATTGTAACAACAACCCATTTGGCATCTCATTCAACTTTAAACGACTAGAATGGGATGACGAAGACGGCATTTAGTCGTACCTCCCGTTCGTCTGCAGGCGACCAATGGGAGGAGATAAATATGAGTCAATCTTACAATAAATTATTTCTCCAAAGTGAAATATTTGTTGACTCCACCGTTAGAATAAAAACGAACGCAGAATACAACTGAGTATAAACACCTCAATTGCTGTTATTTAAATATGCTAGCGATCGAACATAAAGTGGAAATCATTCTAATTATTCTTCATTCACATGACTGGTACGCCACAGTAAACTCATCAATTAGTGGCCGATCAGCAAAATATGGTAAAACACACTTTCCATTAATATGGTGTACACGAAACTGATTTGGGAAATATGAATGGCCTAG